ATATATATATATAAAGGGCTATAAAGAAGGAACTGTATATCTGCCTTTCATTTCTGAATTGTAGAAAAACTGTAGAAAACTACAAACATCTTGAATGGCAGCTAACGTTGTCCTGAAGTGAAGCTTGTGCAATCTCCCAGCTTAAGTTGACAAACTTGCAGGTGAAAAATAGAAGTAACAGGGATATTCGTTTTTAAACTCTTTCCGTTTGCACCTCTTCAGTCTTGTCGCTTTCCCATTTAAACGTGTCTGGTTTTTGTCTCTTTTTCCTCAGACCTGAAGAATAAATGGCACCTTGTGGTTGACCGTCTGACAGTGCTCTTCCTCAAGTTCCTGGAGTATTTCCACAAACTGCAGTTGTTCATTTGGTGGTTACTGGAGATCCATATCATCAAGATCGTTTCCGCCTGCGTTGTCATGGTTGCTATCGGAGAGGTAAGAAAGCTGAAGAATTGACTTACTTTTGTACCTGCAGCAAGACAAACTTAAACCTGCCTGAAAGTCATATTTTATTTTATTTGGCCAGCTTTCATATCAAAACACCACAGGTGGTAATGTGTTTCCCTTCCTGTTGGTGCTAAAACTGAGTACTGTTTATAACTGCTCTTACTTGGGTCCCATCTTCTCTTTCCTGCCTTTGTTAGCACTCCGCAGTATATCCTGGAGAGGCGCTGCTATTTTAGTGTGATTACTTCTCAGATACACAAATAAAGCTGATTTCTTTCAGCACTAATCTAAATTGAACTGTTTGCTATACAGCATACAAGCCAAATAATAGTGTGGGGGATTCTGGAGAATTGTAACAGCTTCTACACTTTGGAGATGTTAAGAAGAGTCTGAGATTTTTTGAGTTTACACATAAACAATGAAGTTTAACTTGGATAACCATACCAGTCTTATGAAAACTCATTTGACAGTCTTTACAGTCATAGTAAAAAGATAAGCTAAAAAATAGTGTCATTATTAATTTAACAAAAGTTAATCCAAAATGAAAAACAGTATACCCCATTATTCGGTAGCTTAGAGAGCCACCTGAATAACTTAAAGCACAGTAATCATTTTCTATCTGGCTTCATCAGCTTCTCACGTCATTGTGGAGGAATTTTAGCCCATTCATAGGAATTCATGTAGGTCAGGTTTTTACTGGGTCACTGCTTTTTAGATTAGTTTTTGATAAATAAATGATGACACAGTATAGTGTCAGTGTCAGGGCTGGGTATCGATCGGTTTCTTTTATCGATTCGATTTCAATTCCCAAGGTCCCGATTGGAGTTGATCCCTGAATTAATTCGATTTGATTCAATTTTGACTGAGACAGTCAGAAATATTATAATTCTGATAAATTATCAGTACATATGCTTATTTTTATATCTATGTATACAAAGCTGAGGTGTGAGGATCACAGTAGATGTCTTTGTGTCGAAGTAACTGAAAAATATGAAAGAGATTTTCCTGGCCTGACTTTTTATATCAAATAAATTATTCTGCAGTAGATCAAAAATGAAAGAAAACCATGAATCAACATATGAACATTACTTGATGCTGCTGAAGTGAAACAGAGCAATGTTAAAGAGGTTTTATTAGAGACACAGCTAAGCGTTTTGCAATTTGGCATACTTTTAAAAAGTTTACATTTCTTCGGTATTGAACAGCAGAAATGAGCCTTTCTTGTCGGAGGCGAAACAGCGAGCGACAACGCTGTACACAATTGTGTTGGCAGCAAAACAGCAAAAGAAAGAGGGAATTAATGATGATGTCCATCAAACATGAAGCGTAGTTTTGATCCTCTTTTGCTGCTGGTTCAGTGAATTTTTCAATCATCACTGATTTACACCTGTTTTCTTTTCAGCGTACAGTGTGTGTGTGTGTGTGTGTGTGTGTATTGTTAAAAATTTATAGCCATAGCTGTGGAAAAGAGGTATGAATGACAAAGGAGTTTTTTTTGTCCTCATCACATCTATTGTCTTTTGTCCAGGTGTCTTTGTTCAACTATGTGTTCCTTGCATCCTGGGCGTTTGCACTGCCGTACAGCCAGTACCGGCCCCTTGCCTCTAGTGTTTGCACTGTCTGGACGTGTGTCGTCATCGTATGTAAAATGTTGTACCAGCTGGACTTAATAGATCCCAGCAAGTACTCCAAGGACTGCATTTTGGTAAATATTAATGCTTCTCAACCAAAGTTGTATAGAATACATGCTGTTCTTTAGCATTGTCCCTATTATCCTTAATTAAAGCCAGATTTTTTGTAGATTCTCTTGATTTTGATTGATGTGCGCCTGCTTTATGTCATGATTTTTATTGGCGTTTGGCATAAAAACTCTGGAATAAAATGTTTGCATTCCAAAAGAGACAAAAAGCCTCACTGCTAGTTTCCAAGATTTGAATTAAAATTCTATGGTTCTTTGAAGCTCCATATTTTTTATTCTTGGATTCTTCTAGTAAAGCTTTGGATGATTTACAGATCAACTAAGCCTTGTTTATCGTATACTCACCTTAGTTGAGCTACTCAGCTACTCACGTCATCCATTCCAGGAGATCTGAAACAACAAGTTGTTTTAGATCCTCTGCCTTTGAGCTAGGTGTCTTCCCATTGTCTGACCCTTATAAAAAGAAAGTTTAAATTACAGGTTGGTGGGACTTTTATGCTTACAACCAAAGCAATGTGTCTGAAATGACCAAAATAGGCTATATCTGCTCTCTCTGACATCATTCAGAGCCAAGGGTAGAAAAAATCTTTCTTAAAATTTGTGTTTAGAGCAGCCTGAATTTTTGGCTCATAGCGACTTACTCTTACGGAACTCGATATTTGAAACGTTGACCATGTTTGATGAAAACATAATTCCTACTTTAGGCCTAGCTTTTAATTCTACTAGACTTAGTCCATATCTGGAAAACTGACCCATTGTGTTTTTGTCCACAGTTATGCAGAAACTCAACAGGTAAGAATTCAGTGTTACCAGATTCTTTGTTGTATAAAGGAAGAGTGGATCCAGCCAACTGGGTGGGCCTCAGGAAGAATGACGACCTGCTGGGCTACCTGAGGGTAAGGTCGAAATGAACCACAGTTCTTTTATCGTTGTTATACACTGCCTATTGGACTCTTTATTCTTTATTCTTTATAGAGCAATTATGAATTTAGAACTTCCGTGTTTACAGGAAAATTGTAATGCGTTTTTTAAAAATTATTATTAACTTTTATGTCAGCAGTAATCTCTATTTCATGTTTAATTCAGTCAAATATGAGATGTTTAACACATCACCCACCTAGTGCTATTTGGCTGTTTAAAGTCAGTATTTAATTTGAAATAATATCAAAATTCCACAAAATGCAGTCAACTGAAAAAAGAACACATAAATATTCCACTGCAATACATTCCTAAGAAAACAGTCTGTGTTGATGGTGTTTAATTTTTTTTCTTTACTTTCCTGTGTCACCTGCCGAGTGTCACTCTGTTTTACCCACACCTCCAAATCTCTGTACAGGGAAGGAGGTGTTTTATTCAGTGAGATGAACACAAGACTTTTGGATTTTTAAAATAAACAAAATGTATAAAAAATGTATTTTAAAAAAGCTAATATTGAGTGATAACAGTTCATAGCAAAGGCTTTCAACTACAGGCTGTCACAGACAGCAGGCCTGGTGCTTAACTGTAATTCAACTGGTTGTAGCGCTCACCTTTGTACGGAAGTCTTATGTAGATGATGAGTTATATGTTTGACAGTTAGGAGGAATATTTGTAAGATTCTTTTGTGAGTATCTTTCCCCATCCCCTGGACCTTTTAGGGGAACTTAATACTTGTGAGATCTCAGACTCTGAATACTTAGCATTTCTATTTTATTTAGTTAGCAGTGGTTTTCATATTGAAACATCTCATTATGTGATTGTTGGCATAATGAAAAGCCAGACTGGGATTCA